GCCCGAAATCATACCAAGACCACCAAGCTCCTTGGGGGTGTAGAAGACGGCAGGAGGGAAACGAGAAGGCATCTTGGAGTTTAGACCGATCTTGACTCGAGTCTGAATCTTGGTCTCGCACTTGACAATTGTATCAAGCAGGTCGACGGTCGATACAGCCGCCTCACGATAATAAGTGAAGAGGGCGATCAACGCTGTGTTCCACTTGTTGGCGATCTTGGTGAAAGTTGTAGAGCCCGATGACATGAGAATCTGTCGAATACGATTGTTGAACTTCTGGATATCCTCCTCGGTGACTTGCAGGAAAGCGTGAGCAGTCCTCTCCTTTGTGGTGTTGTCCACGAGAGACCACACACTATCCTTGACCGGGAATTCTTCATTCTGGTTACGAATCTTGGGGAGAATGCGGACTTCGAAACCACACATAGAGAAGAGCAAGTTCGGGTTATCACGACTGTAAACGCTGACAAAGCTTTCATCCCACTCAATCGTGGTTACGGATCGAGGCAGACGGTTCTTCATATCCCAGAAGACAGCTCGTCCGAGGTTCACATCATGGCGCATCAGACGCATGCGAGAATCTCTTGGCCAGCACTTCTTGCTCTTGTATCCGATAACGTTCTCAAAGTTAGGGTCGGGTTGTTCGGTAAGGAATCTCTGGATGAGGTCTCGAGACTCCTCAGCAGTAAATCGGAGGAAGATCCAAACTTTGTCGATATATCGAGTGTAGAGTCGGATAGGATGACTGGACTCAGTCTCGCGGTCACGGAATTGCAAGAAGTCGTTGGGACTCTGAGGTGGTCCAGCAATCTCGCTGGCTCGCTGAGGACCCAGAAGCAGAAGATCCAACACAAGACCATAGAACTGGAACACAAATGCAGAGAACTGTAAGCCACGGATCATACCATAACTGTTGACATGGTTCATGTCCTTGTAGGTGAGCTGGACGTTGTTCTTGGCTGTGATATAATCCGCCAAATTGTGGTCCATAATCAGTCTGAGAAGAGAGTTCAGAAGCGTGAGCTCCATCTTTTCGTAAACCTTGGATAGTTCCGTCTCAATCATGACATTACATTCACCATTCTCAGTCTGCCACACACGGTCCAGGTTGTTGATCCCCTGTGCCCACTTGTAAACAAGCAAAGGCGGGACCTCGGAATCTGATGGCTTGATCCAGGCAGGGAAAAGATGTCGCTGATCTGCTTGATACCACAGATATTGATCCAGGTAAGCATCGCTAATCTTCTCGATAGGCTCAATATCGTAGACAGGGTTGATGGTGCTGTAGTTGTCGTTCATGTCGATGTTGACTTCCTTGAAAGCTCGCTGGGTAAGCAAGAATCGCTTGATTCGCTCCAGTGTGGTTCCAGGACTATCATATGCTTGCTCAATCAAAGCCAATTCCTCTCGTTGACTTTGGTTGAGACGGCCCTTCACTGAATATGCCTCCCTAAGGCGCTCAAGCGCAAGAATGAGGATCTTGGTGTCGTGCTTGTAAGAAACACTTGGGAAGGGGATAGGAGAGAACTTGCGAGACTCAAGCCAATGCACGGTAGTGGTGTAGATGGCAATAGCTTCTTCGGAGGATACGTAAGGGCCATCCTTCATGTGGTTGTGCTGGCGTTCTTGCTCAGCCTTGAGCCAAAGTCGGGTCAAACGACCAACGTTTTTCTTGGCGACAGTCTTATCAACAGTAGCTCCTCGTCGAATACGCTCACGGTTGTAGTGGGCAACTGAGATCCACCAATCGGCCTTGGACTTGACGTATCGGAGAATGATGTTCTCAATAGGTGCAGGCAAGCCCGGAACCTTCCAGGGGATGTTGCTCTTCCAGCATCTCCAGGCCTCAGATAAATGCTGAAGCACAGTGTTGACCTTGTTTTGCTTGATTCCCTCAGGCATCATGTCCATAAGATCAGCCATAACGGATGCGCGGAGCTCCAAATCAAAATGAGACTCCACACGTTGCTTGGTGACGGTCTTTGCAACTCCCTTGCTGTGTCGACCCTCAAACTGACGAGACAAAAGATTTCCTAACCATCTCTCAAGCAAAGGAATAATACCTCGCATGAAGAAAAGCCAAACTCTCCAAGCGGGAGCCCAGAAACCACATCCAGGTCCCTTACCGACAGGTCCAGAATTAAAACGGTAGTAAATCAGATGCTTCAGATCCTTGCAAGTTCGAATTTGATGCATCAGCTTGTATTTGTATCGGTACATACCCGTCAGCTGACCAACGTGGTTGAAGGCGTAGAGGATACCATCTGCAAGTTGGAAGGCATCAATGTTTCCAAGTCTGTACTGAACTTGGGCATCAACGATAAGCTTTGTAAGTCTCAAGATCTCTCGCATGAGATGGAAAGCGTTTCCAAAACGTGACTTCTTTCGCTCCTTGGTGGTCAAGGTCTTGACGGGCTTCAAATTAAAGTTGTAATCGAGGTGAAGATACGTCAAGTTCTTGCGGTGGATAAGAAGGTTAAGCATGTTGAAACCCTGGCGACAAACCTGCAGACCAGCCTCGACCCAGTCAATGGTTGTCTGCTGGAAGAACTTGGTTTGCTTGAGTGATCGCATCAAGTTCTGCTTGTTTTGCGCCTTGGGCTTCTTCTTGTGCAATTCATTCAATACGAAATTTTTGAGGAGTTTCTGGTACGAGACTCGGACCTTGACTGGAGGTCGATCGGAGGGGGGGTGCTCGAGGTACCACTGTTTGACTAGAGGCACATCCTGTGCTCGAACCATGCGTCCGGATCGTCGGTCAAATGGGTAAGGCGCCCACCAAAGTTCGACAGCAGATGATGTGTTCTCATTCTCGATATCTTCGTCGGCAAGGAATGGCTCGACTCCAGTAGGCAGCTCAAAAGCATCGTCTTCGGACTCCTCAATGTTACCAGCGCCAAATATCTCATCCTCGTGGGAAACCTCGACATTCTTGGGTGCGACGGTTCGCGAAGAGATGGGATTGATGCGGCGATCAAAATGGAACGTCGGAAGATCAGGGTCATCTGCACGATTGAATACGACCTGAGGGTGTGAGTGCCACGATAAATGAACACTTCTTGGTAGCGAATTATAGAGGTATGGGTAGGCGACCCTGAACTCGGTTCGGATGGGGTTTCGGAAGATGATGCGATCAATCGCATTAAACTCGCCAAAGTCTTCATCGTTAGGGTCGATATCCTTGTATAGTGGTTCAAACCGAGGACCGCCAGGAAGGGCGACGTTGAGAGCCTTGGCTGTTAACAAGCTCTTGAGGTCGAAGAGATAGAAGTAGTTCTTGTCAACGACATCAGAAACAAGTGGTCGGCTCAGACGGAAAAGTGTCGCCATCTGAGGTAGTGTGAGGTTCCAGGCCTTGTAGCTTGGACCGTTGACGTGCGGTGTGTCTAGAAGGGGTCTGTAATCGTAGAACCATTCATATACGGCCTCGTCATCTTCCTCGTCCAACTCCATCTGAATCGGCTCAAGTGGCTCAACATCCTCCAAGTTTTCGGCCCACGACAGGGGAGGCTCTTCGTCATCGAAGGGCGGGAATCGCATACGCTTGAATAGTCGTCTGTCGGCCTTTTCTTTGCGCATAAATGTCCACATCATAGCCCACTGCGCAAAGAAGACAGGTTCGATAACACGTGGGATCTCGTTGACCAAAGTCAAGCATCCATTTACATGATATAGCACCTTGACTTCTCGTGCCGATTCCCATGGCATCGGCATATTTTCGAGGAGCTTTAGAACTGCGTGTGGCATGAACTTAAGGGCTCCTAGGTAGCTTCTCTTATCATTCGTATATTTCTTCTGGGAAACATCTCCGATATCCTTGACAATCTTTCGCAGATGTTCGGGGGGCATATCGGCCTTCTGTGTCTGGACAAATCCTCCCTTGCGCTTCTCGCCAAAGCGGTTGCGTTGCGACTTCACCCATTCCTTCTTCTTCTGTGCGAATTTCGCCATCTGGGGGTCGGTTGGAGGACGATAACCTGGTGGTGGCGGAGCTGGAGTCGAAGGAGGAGGAGGCAGGGAAGAAGACGGCGGCGGCGGAGGAGGAGGTCCCCATCCTGGGGGAGGAGGTGGAGGGAGTTGCGACATGATTGTTTCTTGATGCGCTGAAGAGAAAGGAAAGGATCGTGAAGCTGTCGCTATTAGGCTGAGCGCCGTTGCGCGTGATTAGTCACGCTACCGGTTCCAAAGCGCTATCAGTATTAATATTAGTAGTAGCTGCTTTGTCGCGGTTGTTTGGTGATGAAATTGATGCTGGTCGCGCAGATTTTGAACGAGCACGACCAGGGGTAGATGGTAGGGAGCTTTTGAGAAAGTTGCCTTCATCACGATAAATTCTGGGCGATGGCCTGGAGACGCGCTTCAGTGGGTCTTCTCACGTGACTCTGACAACATGGATGTAAGTCGTGGTTCATACTGAATGCAATCCATGATGCCTGAGACTTATTTATGATCTTAGCTAGTATTTATACTGCTTAACTAAAGTAGCTTTCATTACGGAGCTAGATCTCATATGGGTAGATTTCTATCTATTCATACATGCCGGTATCTCTATTCAAACTACCTTGCTATTGTCTACAGTTGAGAGTTTGACAACTCATTCTATAGTTGAAGGCGAGATTAGGGAATTAGGAAACATATGTAGCTTCAACTTAAATTATTATGTTAGTTGTGATAATAACACTGACAATGACAGACAATGAGGATGTCTGTGAACATGACCAGTATGTAAGTGGCATTCCATGTTTGACTTTCAGGTCAGTTACAAATATTACATGCCACACCTCCACGCAAAGCCAGCAGAAACCAACACTAACTATGAGAAGTATTAATTAAGGAAGCCTGAGATAAATAGAGGCATCACTATTAAAACTAACAAAAGGGCAAAATGAAAAAAGACTATAGCATACCTGGCTGAATATGGCCGAGGTATAGGGTAGGTTTCTCCCAATGTTATCTGCCCAATGATAGCTGCCAGAATTCAGTCACTGACTTAGGTAATACTCAAAGCTACAATCATCGTCCAAGGTTAGCATCACTCAACCGACCATCACGACGGCCAATTCGTCCCGCAAACCACCTTAGCACGACACAGATCACCATCAATCAAAATGGCGCACCTCAGTAGGTCAAATAGAGACCAAGAATTCCGAACTCTGCTAACCGCTGATCTGCAGACGTCAAGCCGGACCCGGCCTACCTCAAATATGCCGGTGCGTGACTTCTACCCGACCTCGACTGCAACACCTTCGACTCGAGCGCATTCTGACAATGTGAATAGCTATGATGAAGACGCGCCATCACTACTTCCGATGGACGCCCCGAACTGCCCGGCTCACCTTCATTTACGTGGCCGTGGTCCCCGCCATCATGGGCTATATCGCCTACAAGACCGACGTAAGTCAAGGAACAGGAACCGCGACGACCACCGAAATGCTGACAAGCGAAGGGACTCTGGGATTTCCGAGCGAAGCGAAAGGGCGACCTCATTTACGAGAAATAAATGAACCGGGCATTGGAGGGTTGAGAAGCGTACATATAAAGCACCCTGATTGGGATAGAGCCCATGGTAGGGATTCAATTGAACTGAGGTCAACAATGAACGAATGGTCGCTGAGATTGTGATATGTCTGATACTTTGAATGGAAAATGGGTATAATCGAACGTGACGCTATCAAATTAACCACTGCGTGTCTGTTACCACCTCCCTCTGCCTCTCGATCGCCCACTAGAGGTTTCCGGTAATCTTTCGCCTCTTCTCCAATCGCCCATAGGAAAATCTCCCCCGACATCATCCCTCCAGCCAGCTCGTCCTCCTCTCGAGTTCCTACGCCCAGAACCGTTATCTCGACCTCCTCGGTGAGTCCCTCGGACTTCATGTGGACCTGAAGCCTGCTCCCTTCGCACGCTTGAAGCGGGCGCCACTGAGCCATCCGAGAGTGGTGGCAATATTGCGCAAGTGATATAGTCGCCAACTACAAATCGACAATCGCTCAGTGTCTTGGTTTTGTCGTCACTGCCTCTTGTTGTGCCATCCATGGAAATGTCACCATATGTGTCTGCTCCGGAACCACCACCCAACACAACGCTGCCGAGGTCCTTAACCCCGTATTTGGGGAGAGCATTTGTGACTGCGGCGGTGTTTCGAAGGTCTGGAAATACCGACTGGAATACGAGACGACATCCCACAGAAGGTGAAGGCAATGCTGACTTTTTGGCGCCTGCAAGTTCCAGAGCCAACTCATTCAGAGTACAGTCTGACCATGTGTACACAGGTATATGTGGTGGCATACTATGCGACTCAAATTCATCTGGCCTATGATTTGAGTATTGTTAACTTCTGATAGTGTAAAGCCATCTATATCGGGAGGGGGCATGTATACCTGTGAAGAGATCCTGTGCGATAGAAGAGATGTAGCAAGAAAGGTGTTGTATCTTCGCGCAGTGACTTTTCTGGAGAGGAAGACATCTTATAAGACTGAAAAGAAGGGGAAAAAAACAAAATTGTGAGACTAAGTTATTATGGTGACGCTTTGTTGTTTAAGTTGCGAATAATGAGAGGCATCACTAAAGTATCCAAATTAACCGATCTATATCCGCTTAAACCATCATGACTTCGCGCGCCATCAACAACAATTTGTAAACTCTTACCACTTACAGACTGCGACAACAAATTTTTGAGCACCGAGCGGCACAATCTTGGCAATCTCCCAACACAAAGCATAGGCCAATTCGAATATTGGATCAACGCTCCCATAGGAAACACCAACACGTCGATAAAAACGCTGTCCAATCTGCACCATGGATTTCGCGGCGCTTATGAACAAAGAGCTCTCAAAGAGCAAGAAGAGCTCCGGCAGCGAGGAAAAGAAATACTTGAAACGCTCAGAAATCGAAGCGCAAAGAAAAGAAGCATACCTTGCTGAACAAAAAGCCCTCGAGGCCGAGCGCGAAGCCAAAGCAGCCGCCAAGCGCAAACGAGAGGAAGATGCCGCCGCCGAGAACGCTGCCCGCGAGGAGAAGCGTCGCAAACTCGCCGAGGATATGCGCAAAAGGCGCGAAGAGCAAGAAGCTGAAGAGGAACGCGCCCGAAGGAAGCGACTTGGTTTGCCAGAGCTGGTCAAGGAGAAGAGCGAAGACGTTGAGGATGGTGTCCATGCTAGCGAGGATATACCAGAGGAGGAGCTCGTTGAAAAGTTGAGGGGGCTGGGTGAACCGGCTGTCTTGTTCGGAGAGAATCACTCTGCGAAATTGAGGCGATATCGCAAGTTGACGACAGTCATGACCAAGGGCCCTATACCGACAACGTTAGAACTCGTGGATGAGAAGGATATGAAGGTGACCACTGAGCTACCGAAAGACAAGGAAGGCAGGAAGTGGCTATTTCGACAACTGGCAAGCTATTTTACGATGGTTCTTACAGAGTACGAGCGAGCTATGGAGGCTGAGAAGCGGGATACGAGTGCCAGCAAAACAGCATACAATGCTATGGTACAGACTCGAGAGAACATGAAACCAGTGAGTCATCCTTATTCGACGGAGATGAGATAAGTACTAACACCTTACAGCTATTCCGCAAGTTTGAGCAAGGCGAACTCGACGACGACATTCTTAAGCCTGTTACGGAAATCGTTCAAGCTCTCCAGGAGCGTCGTTACGTGGACGCCAATGACGGATATCTACGACTGAGTATCGGCAAGGCAGCGTGGCCCATCGGTGTTACCATGGTAGGCATCCACGAGCGTAGCGCTCGTGAGAAGCTACACGATGGAGAGAAGGGCCATGTAATGGGAGATGAGGTTACGCGCAAATATCTTCAGAGCATCAAACGCTGCCTGACTTTTGCGCAAGTTCGATGGCCGCCCACAGACTTGCGACAGTTGATGGGCTGAAGAATAGTATGTAGCTGGAGGCAAGGGCTCGAACTTAATAATGATACCCCCCTTGAACAAGAATCATTGAAAAATATGCACAAGAACAACGTTAGGCGGAATGATTTATTTCGAAGTATGCTCCTGACGCCTCATCTAATCTGCCGCAGTGTAGTTCCATACCCGTAAGTGGATAACCATGATCAGGAATTCCTAACGCCTAGGCCGTAATGCTATATGCAGTCCATTGGTCCAGATTGTGATACCCAGCTCGCCCAGCTTCCTCGTCGGTCAGTCGAAAAGGGCCCAGGTGGACAATTTTTTACCATTGTGCACCGAAATTTCTAGGCCTCGACGGCGCCTGGCTGTCCCGGTGCCTTGCTCTCACCGTACCACTGTTCATCTATTCCACGACCACCAAGGCCAGGTCCTTTTGCCCTTCCTGCAACCTCAAGACCAGCGGCAATGAGGCTGATGCGACGGAGTCTCTCCTTGGCTTCCTCCTCGTACTGGGTAGCGACCTCAAGTGCCTGCTTCTGCATCTCAAGTCTCGGGTTGGGTTGGTCTGCAATGAGCAACTATAGAGAATCAGTAAGTGGCCTAGATGGTAAAAGAAAGAGTTGCCCACCTGTTCCTTGATATCTAGACGGGCCTTGAGTATTCCCTCGCGAATCATAGATACGAGCTCCATCTCGACTGACTCTCCGTCTTGCGCAAATGCTTGGTTCAAGCTCTCGAGGGTGACACACGAGAATGGTATGAAGTACTGGACAATGCATTTTCTTCGGATCTGTGAGTAGAGCGATGAGACGTGGCGCTGTAGGTAGATGTCCAGGAGACAGTCGTTTCGAATGGACTCGAGAATAGCGAGGCAGTTTGAGTATCTGCCATTGACAAAAAGACTGATGGCCTTGCGAACGTGCGACTCGTGTTCTAGGAACGAACGGAACGACTGGTTGTCCAAGACTCGAGTTTGAAGCTCCTGTCTATCCATAGTGGCCAGGGCAAGGAGACCTCCGTAAACGGCAATGTCGTTTGGGCTAGCGATGTGGTTGTATTGCGCAGGCGGTAGGGTGAAGTCAACTTGGAGGAAGTTGTTGGCTGCATCCTTGTAGTGCTTAAGACCAAGGAGCGCAATACCAGAGACAAGTTTTGTGTATGGCTGATATGTACGTTCCTCCTCACCACTCTGAACACCGACGATCTTACCCAGATTGTTAAGAACCATGGTCCAGTCCCGTCTAGCGATATAGACATTCACGAGGTGGATGCCGCAATCGATAATGTGTTTGGTGGTGGTTACGTCCTGGCGCATGCGGTTGTACGCCTCGGCTGCTGCCTCTAAATATCCGGTTTTTTCGAAATGCAAACCCAAATCTTCGTTTCCCATCTAATAAAGTTAGAAGGTTATATTCACAGAGTTTTGGAATTTTCACGCACTCGGATGCTCTCTTTGATCAAATTGTGTCGGTACTGCTTAAGCTGGGTTTCGAGCCGTGCAGCTTCCATCTTGTTCTCGCGCTCGACTCTATCGATCCATGCTTGATCTTTTTGGGCATCGGGGTCGTCAGGAGCGGCAACGCGAATGCAGCCCCAAGCTTCGACGTATAGGGCAACATCTGAGCCTTTCTTGATCTCGGCGATAGCAGCCTTCAGCGCGTCGATACAAAGTGGTACGGAGGACTTTCCGATTTGGATGAGGCGATCGATTCTTGTTCGGCCTAGATGAGCTGTCAGCGGGCACATCGAGATGGCATCAGTGGGATTGAAGTGACTGACCGGCGTAATTTTGGATATAGAGATCGAGGTCGAGCTTTGGTTGTTCTAAAGATGCAAGTCAGCACATGATTCTAGAGTCGCATCTCGAAGCCAACGAACCTTGGACAACGATGCCACCCAAGTTTTTCATCTGGCCAAAGAAAGCCGTCAGAGGACTTGACTCGGACATTTCGAAGCTGTGTGTAGCTAATACACACCCAGACACACCTATTAAACAATGAGGGATGGATTCAAAGAGCTATCTGTAACTTGACGTGTGGTTTGGTGGATAACAATCACTTGCTACTAGGCGACAGTGGGGTAAGACAAGGTGGGGGAGGCTCGGTGAGGGAGCAGCCAGACCGGGACAACATGGGTAAATTTCGGTGAGCCAAGGTGAGGATTTAGTGGCGGTAAGTGGAGAGCCGATCCGGTCCCGAGCCTCCCACGACACTCAGCATCACTTCTTGGTTGCTGACGATCAAAAAGAAGCTTTTCTGACTACAGCAAGGCTAGCCTTAGGCTTGACTCAGGACTTCGTGATGACGTTCTGTGACTTTTCCTGACAATTAATACGTATTATGTAACTTTCAGCTGGAGACTGTACGTACAGTTTTCTCCTGCCATGGCAGAGGCACAGATGCATGTTGGCACATCAGCAATATTCTGAAGCTGAGCGTTTGGATGGGTGTCCCAATGCAGCATTTCCGCTCTTCCACGAGGACAAAGCGAATGTGGCATTCAGGCCCGGGCAGGAAGTAACCACCTGCCTAGTTGCGAACACTGCGAGCCTTTTTCGCCATTGAGTTAATGTTACGACGATCAACAGACCCTGAATTATCAGACAATCCAGACAATGTGCTGGAACATGGCTGCAGATACCGTGACTGGCAGGGTAATGCTAGTTCCGGACATGTTAACTCTATTCAATTATAGTTGAGTTAGGTTGGTTTTGTCTAAGAGTTGATGTTTCTGGAAAAACAGACGTTTATTAGGCTCAAGCAAGGCCTGATCAAGTTTGATTGAAACTTTGTAGAAGAGGTTAAAACAAAGCTTGAATGCCAAGACCAATGCCAAGACTTGTTGCAACACAAATCTACGGCAGATAATTTTCATCGCTCTGACCCGACTTTATCGGCCGAAGGAGATGCATATTTTTGGACCAAAGAATCACGACGTTTTCAGCTTAGCGATGGGTCCGTAGAGCGATAGAGAACCACCAGCACCTTTTCCACCAATAGATCACGAAGCTGAAGTGAATCAGAACCGCGAAGACGCGAGAGGGCGCGCTGTCTGATTCGGCTGCGCCGTTTAGAGCTAGCGCTCAGGCAGGTCAGGGCACGGAGGAAACCCGGGTGAGAGCCGGAGATTGAGGTTAGGATCCATACATCCATCTCCATCCATTCTGTATCAAGTTCGTTTTAGTTGGATGATGTCATGTCTAACGCACAGATTCTTCAACTGGTCGTCGTGATCATCTTCCCATTTCGATTCTCGGGTACATGAAGAGGATTCGAATCACATTGCATAATGGTCACTACCCAACATGCATATGGCGCCTTGTTCTCATGCGTGGCGGGCCAGAAGCCACATGAATGGGGATCATCCCGTCCGTCAGCTTCCGTGACTCCCGGAGCCGATGCATTGGTGGTTTCTAAATCCAGTCAATATCAGTTTGTACTGAAACTAGACAGAACCAACACTCGCACTGCATCTGACCATTTTGATTTTGGACCCTGCTTGTTCTCACAAACGATACAGATTATAGCATCTCTATTAGTGTTTGGTTTATCTTATGCTTGTCTACGTTGCTGCAGCCTGGGTCACACTTCAGCCAGTGCATTAGACTAGACTCTCAATAAGGTATGAACAAAGTTGGAGCGGTCTACTGCTGTTGCGAATAGAGTTGACTATGAGTTTCATTCATCAACACGCAAATTTCAACGCTGTAAATCGACCCCCAAATAAGATACCAGCAATGACGTTTGGTTCCTGTCGTCAACACCATCTTCAATGGCTTTATCTCGCGATTCCGAGACCCTCTTGGCCTCTCCTCAAGAGACTCTTGCCACGGCTTGATCGACGCAGATAACACGGAAACAAGATCAATCCCCACAAGTTTATGCCGCTGAGGCTTAGGTTTGCCTAGTGCAGCCACTCACAAGCCTGCCTGGGCTCGGCCATGCAAGTCTCGTCAGAGTGGATTGGATTGGATGTGATCTAGCTGACGACAAGGTTGGTCCAGAGCGTTTTGCGTTTTTGGGCGGTTCATCCATTGCCCCTAGCCAGTTAGTGAGTGTCTTCGACCCCCAATTAGCGGGTGCTTAAAATTACTTCTGGGTACCGGTACTCGCGACTCGAGGCGTTGGAACGGTACCGGAACGTAATCAATGGCGTGGTGGTCGTCTACAGCCCGTGGTCCCTGAAAGTTGTATCGGTCTCATTTCAATGCTTCAGTTAACCGCATCCATTGAAGAAAAAAGACGCTGGCCATCTTGAATCCGCCGGTGCAACAGTTTGTGCTTGTGCATACGACGGCGCTGAGCGGCCGTTGGTCCCAAAATGCAAAGGGGGGTCTGTCCCTGAGACTGACTGCGAGTTTATTTTGCGGCCGCGCGGCTTTGGGGTTGATGGATGTATCCGTCCACTTGCAGGGCCCTGGGCAGTGGAGATGGCTTCTCTTTTCTAGAGGTCGCCGTCCCGTCATAGCCGTGATCCTGCTGTATTTGCGCACGAGTTGGTACTGCAATGTGTTATTCGTGTTTCCAATTCCTTCTTGTTTGATGAGAAGAAGCATTGTCGAAGGAAAGCCCCGGTAGACCAGCCACCGACGCGTTTTACGAGGTGATAGTCTATTTGGGGGCATGGACCTGACTCACTTGGGCAATGCGCCAAGTGATAGTCTCTAGAGAATCTGGGTATTGATGAGCAGCTTCGACGACTTCTGTAACTATTCACCGACGCAATGGGTCACTATTGACGTTGTGCGCGTGGTTCCTCAAGGAAGCCCACAACACAACACAAAACAACACATGAGGCATGGAGATATGGAGATAGTTATCTCAAGACGAGGGGGTTCTTTTGTAAGTCAGTGACAGTGAGCAACTCAAAAAAACTGGTACCTGTCTAAGGTATACGCTGGATCCAATGTCACCTCACCTCCCTGCCCTGGTAAACTTGAAGGCCGATCCCCCCTGCAGTAACAAAAGGACTTTTAGAGGACAGTGTGACATTTCAGAAGCCGTCTTTTCCTTGAACCCTTCCGTCTCGGTCATTTCCCCTTGATAGAATTGCGCAACGCCGCAATATGTGATGCACCAAAATGAGGTTCCTGAACCCGACATCGTGAGTTGATCGCGACTGAAATTAATATTCGTATTTTTAATTTTGAAATGGCTGAATAACCTCTCTTGCTTACTGTTTCTTGGCTGGCCTAACTGTACGGGTTATTTCACGGCTGTTACACCCGCAACCTTAACTCAATTGTCCCTTGCTCTACGTCGTATTGAAAACATCAAGCTTTCAGTCTCTTGACGCGTCCGCAATTTCTCCAATTGCCGTTCTTCCTTGTCATACTGATCGCTTAGAGTGCAGCGGTTTCACAGCGACAGTCATTCTTGGGCCATTGGAAGTCCATCGAAATGATATTGCGCGTCTCGTGCTGGGCTGCTCCCTCAGGTGCCCATGCCACTCATTCATCCACTGGCGTTTGATTTTACTTGGCTTCAACTCTTGGCTTGACATGTTTTGTGCCTTGGTATTGCTTGGCACTAGAATTTTCCAGCCTTTGTGTCTCATCATCCCTTTGGCGACTCTTGTTTGCCAGCCCTGGGTCTTGGTAGAATCTTAGCATCTGCCACCGTCTCTTTGGAGACCTGAGTATTACCCTCAAAGGTGGCCTCACCTATCGTTTCTGCATCCTCTCACTAGTCACCTTAGATTGAGACATGAGCGCGAAAGACCGAGGTACAAGACTGTACCGTGCTGATAATACGGTATCAGGTACCATGGTAATTGGCTCCGACTAAGGACCCCGATCCAAAGCCCCAAAAGACCAGCCCAGGCTCGGACAGGCTCAGACTCAGGTCCTTTTGGAGAGCCCGTTCGAGTTACCGTCTCTGCATCTCCACCTCTTTCGTCGTTCTCCTCTCTCTCGTTCGCTCACCCCGTTTCGTTCGTAGGTTACCTACCTGTTGTTGCAAGCTGCGACAGTATTGTTGCTTGTACTGGGCTTGTTACTCTCCTGTTGTTGCTCAAGCCAAACCAAACCGAATCATCTGTACCCGCCTCGGTCGCGAAACCCGCCCGCTACAACAGGGCTTTCTCTCACTCATCCCTTTCTCTTTGACTTGGAACAGTTTAGTCCCTTCTGGTTCAGTCCATACCCAGTTCAGTTCAGTTAGGTTCCGTCAAGTCAAGTCAGTGCAGTGCAGCACGCTACGGAACGGTACTTGGTACGACAGGCTATCCCCCGTCTATTGCCCAACACCAGCACCAGGGCACTCTCAGACTCTCTACCTGGGCGCTTTCCCCATCATCACCAACTCATTTCAGTCTTGGTTACCTACCTTACTCTTCTATTTCTATTCTTGACCCTGCCACTTTCTTCGCGGGAACTTTAACTGAACTCTCTTGAACGCTGATGGCCTAGGCCGTGAGTCTTGGGGGCGATTGGGATATGGGCTACCACTTGCCTCACAACTTACGCTTGCGACCCTGCAACTGCATCTGCAATTCATTCACTCTGTAGTCCCTTTGACTCTCTTCAACTCTTCTCGACTGTCCGCTTCAATCAATTCCCAGTTCTGCCGCACGGCGGCGGCGACAACAACGACATTTCCTTTCTCGTTTTCCTCTCATAATAATACCCAGCTCATTATTTCCTTTTCATCGTGGCCAAGAGGCCTATTAACTGGTGAGTGAAAACCTGCAACATCAGTCACCCGCCCGTCGGCTCTCCCCGTTGTTGCTTGGCGCCTCAGCGTTGTGCCCCCGAACTCACCTCCTCTTCTCTACCTTGCATTCGCATCAACATTGTCCGTTGCGCTGTGTCCTTACAAGGAAACTGTCCCATCTGCGAGTTGAATCGGCGATGGGGCCCTAGCCTTTGCCAAGACACTCCAAATTTCATACCCCGATCGCCTTATCCCCTCAAGTCACCAATGTTGAGTAGTTAACTCCATGGTCCTTTGCTAATTCAACCAAGTTCGATATGCCTCCGGACGTCGGTGACAACGACGCTGGCCAGTCGGCTCACGACTGGCACGATGACGCTCCGTCGCCATCAGCGAGCATCAAGTCCGACAACGAACTTGACGAAGACGGCAACCCACAACCCGGCGCGTCATCCCAACCGATTCAGAAGCGACGACGAGTAACGCGCGCATGCGATGAATGCCGACGGAAGAAGATTAAGTGTGACGGCAAGCAACCATGCACGCACTGCTCTGTCTATAGTTATGGTACGCGGCTTCTGTCTGATTTATCACTCAATCGCTTGTTCTTAGACATTTTAACCCTCATACTGGAAAACGACGCGGCGGCTGACTGTTACATGCAGAATGCACATACGATAAACCTTCAAACAGGAGAAGAAACCCGGCCCCACAATACATCGAAGCCCTGGAAAGTCGACTGCAACGCGCCGAGTCTCTACTTCACAAATTTATGCCCGATGTCGACCTGGCCGATCCGAATCTTGATCCAGCAATTCAGCAAGAATTCCGCAATCGCGAAAATGCTCGTGCCCAAGCCTCGAAGGCTCGACAGCCTCCTCCACCACCCCAACCTGAGCAAAATGAAGCTCATCTGACTTCGATGATCGATTCCGTTGGCCAACTTGATATCGACGAGAAGGGAAGTTTGGAATTTCACGGCAACTCCTCCGGTGCTGTGTTCTTGAAACGCATGAAGGATCATTTCCGAGGAATGCTTGGTTCGTCCTCAAAAGCTCCGTTTCTGCCTCGTGCCGAACGACCGGCTGGTCTGGAGTCGCCCTCATTATCTTCAGTCGGAACACCCTTCTCAGCAATTCCAAGCTACCCTGAGCTCCCTCCAAAGGATGTTGCCCGGAAGCTGTGCTATTATTCCCTCAGCTGCGCGACATGTCTCGTTCGAATCGTTCACGTTCCCACTTTCTACGAGCAAATGGACAAGATCTACGAACGACCATTGGACAATTTAACGAAGGACGAAACGCAATATCTTGGACTATTATTCTCTGTTATGTCTCTTGGATGTATGTACAACAATCTCGACGACAACGACCCAGGAAGCATGCCCTATCAAGATGCGACAGAGGAGGGTCTCAAATACTACAACGCCGCGCGATCGGTATTACACGACGTAACCGATTGTCGCGACCTTATTTCGCTACAAGCTCTTCTATTCATCATTCTTTTCCTCCAAGCCACCTCGAATCTCAGCAGCTGCTATTCCTTCGTTGGTATTGCACTGCGCTCGTCACTCCGAATAGGCCTTCATCGACATTTGCAGCACGAAAAAATCGATCCGATTGAGCAGGAAGTCCGGAAACGTGTATTCTACGTGGTTCGACAAATGGATATCTATGTTTCGACATTACTTGGCTTTCCTCTCCTCCTTAACGTGGACGATATCGATCAGCCGTTCCCCTTGGAAGTTGATGACGAGTTCATCACACACACCGGAATTTTGCGACCACCGCCTGGATCACCATCTTTTTTTCAAGCGTTCAACGCCCATTCAGAACTAATGGAAATCTTGTCAAAGGTCACGAAATATGTCTATCCAACAAAGGGATTGGGCCAGAGCGTTACAAAAGACAACAAACCCGCCTCCACCTATCTAATTAGTTATGGCCGTATCAAGGAAATTGAAGCTGAGCTTCATTCTTGGTTTGAAAGGCTACCCCAGCACTGGCGCCCAAGCGGTGAGGGGCCAATTGAGACGGTTCGGTAAGTGCAGCAGTGAGATATTTGAAGATATCGTAGAGCATTACTAACCATAGTGATAGAATCCGTCATTTGTTGAGATTTGCCTATGCACATGTCCAACTTGTGCTATATCGACCATTCTTGCATTACGTCTCTCCTCGTTTGAGTCAAGGAAACAAGGTGGACGAGCTATCATATGCTTGTGCAGCCGCTGCCATCAGTGTCTCTCGTAACATTGTGCACATTGGATTGGAAATCCGCAAACAGCGGGTTCTCAGTGGACCGTACTGGTTCATGTTGTACACTGAGTTCTTTGCCGTCCTGTCCCTCGTGTTCTATGCTACAGAAAACCCTGAGAAGCCCGGATCTGGCGAAGTTCTAGCGGATGCTCGAGCTGGAAGACAAATGATTGCAGCCCTGGCGGAGAAGAGCATGTCGGCCGAACGAGTTACCAGCGCTCTCAAGGTATGGCCTAAATATTCGAACTCTGGTACTTTACTGACATCGTTGAAACAGGCTCTATTTGATCAATTACCAGAGCAATTGGATGCTGGAACAATACGACAAGCGCCTTCAAAGAAAAGACCCGCCCCTACAGGACGACCTTCGTCTGTTTCATCTCATCATACTCCAATCCCCGCAAGCATGTCCTCGATAGGAACGACAGATTTCACTCGTGCGAGCCAGATGTCATCAAGCTCGTATCCTACAACCTTGTCTCAAGGGACGATGGATCTGCCTGGAGGAGGCATCGCAGCCTTCCAAGATAACACTTTCTCAGCCAACTTTGGTGATTTCATGTCTCCCGATTTGCAGCGAAGCACCCCAGAGTCGACCAGCAGCGCAGCGACAAGTACTCAACGCTACCCCTACACAGGACAGCAAATGGGTATGCACAACCCTGTCAACAAACTCGACTCGCTCATGTTCCCGTCTGAGGATCCTTTTGCCTATCCAAACCAACCTATGATGGAATTGGGATTCCCGGGCAAGACAGACCAACCCACCACTATGGGAGACCAGAATCAAGATATGCAACTCTTCTTGACTGGAACTTTCGACGACGTGGAAAGTCAGATCTTTGGACAACCACCGCCCTACATGATGCACCAGCAGGGCCAGCCCATGATGAGTGCATCGAGCCACCAACCGATGTTCGCCAGTCCATCAGCCATAATGGGAATGCAGCCCGGTCAACCGATGATGCAACAACGGCGACCAGTGTCACAAACGCACGCGATTCATCAAGGACACGCCATGTCAAACCGACGAGCGCACGCACAACGGCATCAAGAAAGGCAAATACAACAAATGTTTACAGAACAGGGCATGCAGGCGGATTGGGGAGGCTTCTTTGGCTCTGGAAGAGGAGGATTCCAAGGAATGTAACGGTCGCTACATTTGATACCCACTCATGATACGGGAGGACGGAAAGCGCGCGAGGCGTCGGCTAGTGATTTTGATCTTGATTTTTATTTCATGGGAAGAGCGATTTTGATTTGGAACGGAGTGCTTGGACTGTTAAAGGGGCTAGGATACCACGGTTGAAGAGTATGGCAAAGAAATGATCGCGTTTTTAGATATGGCCAAAGCACATAGACGGCGGCTGGGACTGGTATACACTTGGACAAACATTTGGATTGTCTGTTGAGGTTGAGGTTGAAGTTGAAGTTGAAGTGGATGTGAACAGAGGAGGGAAGCTGAATGAAAGGTGAAGGATCATTGAGAAGAAGACTACTTGTTAGCACTGCAATGAATTCAGCTTTGAGTATAGATCCATCATAATGAGACTTGCCATAAGGCATATGAAACATTGAAAGTGGTTGACTCAGTATTAAATGTGTATTTCATAGTGTTTGGCTTGGAGATGGAGATCTTTCAGCCACTGAAGCAATTATTTGCGGATACAAGATCGGATCATCCCGTAATCTAATCTATCCTCAACAATTCCACGGCGGACTAAAAGCGTCTCATTATCGATCTGGTTGCGTCATGAAATGGATGAATTAGTACAGTCGGGCTTAGAAGGCTTATAAGGGCGTTATCGGGGGGTTGCGATACGCTGTGACCACTCCCGATGAGCACCGCAAGGAAGCGATACGGGGAGACTGTGGCTGACTGATTACGGATGGATACTGTAACTCCAACCGTAACTGTAACTGTAGCTGTAGCTTTAGTGTATGTGTTATCACATGAAACTTGAAGCTTCCTCTCTTTTCAATAAACAACACATATTCTTGAGCAACTCTCTTTGTCCATCTCGGCCCTTTTTCAACACGCTCATTCGATCCTACGTACGAGTCAACAAGGCTGTACTGGATTTATAGTGCACGCAGATGGCACCGCCGATAACGCCGCCGAAGCCCGTCTGCGGGGAGCAGAGGCCTCAAGCACGTGAAAGAAGGTCGATGAGCTACGAGTTTGTGCTTGAGGATGAATTCGACGCGCTGTGAGTGGATCCTGGGGTCTTATACTCTCATTTATCTGGTATAATGCTCATATCACTGACTCGAGCTCTGTGATAGATGTGTTGAGGTAAAGAAGAGTGACGATGACTGCGGCGGTAAAAGCAGCAGTGGTAATAAGTATCCCGGTATGTTCAAAGAAGCTCTGTCTCACATGCTCTCGATATTTAAACGAGTACTGACATACCATGAAGCAAAACTCCATGCGCGCAAGGTCGTCAAAGAGCTCGGCGTTACTGATGGACTCCTCTATCTTCCTGGCGAGCCTACACGCCTCTATGAAGACTCAGACCAGTCGCCTCCTTTCAAGCAACGCAGATAGTATGCTACCCAGTTCCTATGAAAGAAATTCTACTGATAACAACACAGTTTCTATTACCTGACTGGCGTTGACTTTCCCGACTGTGCCGTTACTTACGAAATCGCCATGGATCGTCTCACCCTCTGGATTCCATACGCCGAGCCGCGACAGGTCTTGTATCACGGCCCAACTCCTGACGCAGCAGAGTCTATGCGTAAATACGACGTCGATGATGTTCGATACACCGCTCAATTGTCCAAATTTCTTCATGGTCAACTTCGTCCTGAGAAGACTCTCTATGTCCTTCATTCTGATCAGGCTCCTAAGTTGACTGATCGACCTCGAGGACAGACCCAGATCAACTGCTCCAAGCTGCGACCTGCCATGGATGAGGCCCGTGTAATTAAGACGGAATATGAAGTTGCACTCATCCGTCGCGCTTCACGTATCTCTGCCGCTGCTCATCGTGCCGTGGCTGAGCGTCTCCTTACTATGCGCAATGAGCAAGACGTCGAGGCAGTTCTTCTTGCCGCTTGTACTTCGCGTGGTGCTCACGCCCAGGCATATCCTATTATTGCTGGCGCTGGTGTCAATGCTTCGATTCTACACTACGGAGCCAACAACCAGCCTCTCGAGGGCAAGCAACTGATCGTTGTCGACGCTGGCTGTGAGTACCAATGTTACGCCAGCGACATCACCCGTACTCTTCCTGTCAGTGGTTCCTTTTCTAAGGAGGCCTCCGCGATCTACTCTATTGTGCAGCGCATGCAGGAAGAGTGCATAGCACGTGTTCGACCCGGCACTGTCTACTACGAACTTCAGCTCCATGCCAGTGACGTAGCTCTCCAGGGCTTGCGCAAGTTGGGTCTTCTGAAAGGCAACTTTGAGGAGATCCAAAAGGCGGGAACCGTCGCTGCTTTCTTCCCCCACGGTCTCGGTCATCACGTTGGTCTTGAGGTCCACGATGTCACTGGCTATGAGCGTCTCCTGATGAGAGATAACTTCCACGTCGAGGGTGGTAAGCGTGAGATGGTAACTGCCACGGCTCTGGTGGCAATGCATCGTATGGCTTCGTCTTCTCCACCTACAAAGCCAAGACAGTCTCTTCAGCCCAACATGATTGTGACAATCGAGCCAGGAATGTAAGTACTATAATTTCTTCAAGATTGAGGTCTTTGGGCTAATTTATCGAAGCTACTTCTGCCGTCCTTTTATTGAGGGATACTTCCTGAACAACCCGTCACATGCCAAGTTCATTAACAAAGACCTCCTCGAGACATACTACCCAGTTGGTGGTGTTCGCATCGAAGATGACATCCTCGTCACACCCGGTGGCTATGAGAACTTGACCTCTGCTGCCCCCAAGGGTGACGAGATGCTGGATGTGATCAACGGCAGCTTTGAGAAGATTTAATGACGCTATGAATGCTTGCATTTGGCTATGAAACTGTCGGCGAGCAAGGCAAGCGAGTCTGAAATGTTTAGTGTTTGAATGCGTGGATGTTTATGGGTGGTCCGGGAGTGGTCTAATGACATTGAGTAACTGGTCCAGGTAATGAGAATGAGTCTTGGATACATAGTCTTTCAGATTTGCAATATTGATTTATGATTTTTTTTTTAATCATCATGCTCATTTCTTTTGCCAACATAAAAACTCTCTCGTGTACACACGGCTCATGCATCTAATTTACGAAGCACAGCAATACCAAGGAACAAGGCGTGAAGTCAGACCTCACTATCCAAACACAAGTTCTCCCTTGAATCCATACTCCCCCTCTTTTTAGTCCTTTTTCATGAGTCTACAGATACTTCTTAGGCATGGATGAGCGCCGTTTCTTGTAAACCACATAAGCCGCAACGAGAAGACCCTGTGTGCCAAGGAAGACGAAGATAAGGAAGCGGTGGCCAGGAGTCTTGGCCATGACAGTCTCTGACAAAGAGTTATGGTGGTCAGAGAGGGTGTCCTTGAAGGTACGCTCGGTTGACTGCAGCTTGCGGTTGAGTTCCTTTCGGAGACCCTGAATATCCTTCTCGAGCTCCATGACACGGCTGTGCAGAGCAGTGATATCGTCGAGCTTTCTCATATCAGCACGGAGCTGGCCGATCAGGGCGGTCAAGTCCTCGTGGCGTTTCTCATCCTGCTGCTGGTGGCGTGAGGAGGTGCGCTGCAGGGAGGCGAGCTGGTGGTTGGTGTTTTGAAGGCGATTGTGCAGATCCATGAACTGAGCTTTGGAAGTCTGGAAGATATCAGGATCTTCATCTGCGTACTCGCCATCGTTTCGCTTGTTGTTACTGTTGGAGGTGTCCCTGACGGGTGGAACACGCTGGTTCTGGTTCTGATTCTGGCCCTGATTTTGGTTCTGCTTAGGAGGGTCACGCACAGGACCACTGTCGCTGTTATCAGCCATGACAACCATCTTGAAGACCTCAAAAGAATCAGGATTATCAGGGGTAGCAGCAGTGACACCAAACTGATAGCCTGTGGGAATGCTGAACTTGTCTGACTCGAAGCACAGGTTACCATCCAACTCAACACGGAATGTCCTGGCGGTCTGTCGAAGCTTGACCTGCGAAGGTCGGCCGAGGTTGCGGTAGTTGTAAGGGCAGTGGCCGAATGAGAGCTCATCGACATTGCTTTGCCTCGAATAATCGGTGTTTCCATCGTTCAAGAACCCTCGAACCATACCACTGGAACCGCCAGAAGTATCAATAACCAGAGCCAAACCGTCGAACTTTCCGACAGTGTAAATGCTTCCAGAGCCGATCGTAGCAGGACCGTTGCGAACAAGCCAGATGTTGAGGTTACCACGGCCACGATCAGGTCCGTTGGCTCGGAAGTCGACGTCGGCGATCCATTGGTTTCGAAGTAAAGGCTGCTGGCCCCATACGGCACCTCGTTGATTACCAGGAGCAAGAGGTGTCAAGATGATTCGGTTTGAGAGAACCTCGGGCGTGTTGGGGTTGCCTTGGACAGCAAAGTTGGGGATCTGTCCACGAGCTTCGGGTGGGCTTATCCTGTAGACGCAGCACGGGTTAGCAACATCCCTGGACAGTGCAGTACCACAAAAGTACAACAAGGTAGAACAAACCTTCCAGCATGACCAAAACTAAGTTCACTGATGAGATACTGAGCCTGCGACAGGCTTGCTGCCAGCAGCGCAGCCAAAGAGAAAGAGACCTTCATAGCAGCGTAAAGATGGACGCAGGTAGCTCCAATGGACCAAAAGACGAAATAAGAACAAGGATGGAAACCGCAGGCAAGACAGAACTCGACACCTGCGCAGGACGGACTCACTCCTTTTTCCCAAGTTCGGGTCACGGAAAAAAAGAGCTCGGGAAGTTGAATGGAATGAGCCGAGTTGGTGGAGGCAAGGCTGAGGTCTAAGGACACTTTGCACTATGCAGCCCCTGGAACAAGCGTATACCGTACTTGGTGGTTGGATTTTAGAGCGGGGGTTCACTAGAGACCAACGATTGGGAATCAACGATGGGGTTCTAAAAGACACAATAATGAGGCCTGTAAGATAGGAATTAAGATAATGAAAGAACAAAGAATCTATCAGTTGATACTCAAACACAATAAGAGAGAGGGAAAAGTCTCATGAGAAGGAGACATTGACTTAATGAAGCCACATGCGATCATTCAACTCAGCCTTGAAAAGGGTTTTGTGGCGTAACCTACCTGGAGCAGCGTGGCTTGATGATGCCCAGTAAAGAGCATTATTGGTGGATTTGTTAGCTAACAAGATGGAAGCTGGGGAAAAGAGCTCGGGCCGTCGGTAGCTTCAAAGGAGAATACGGTGAACCCCTTTCGAGCTGTTTTAAGATTGAGGGATACAATTGAATTGAATAATTAATAAGTAAAGCGAAGACGGACAGCTTGGAAACTGTTTCTGTTACTCAGACTTTGACACCTAACGTCCGTCACCCAAAGACTGGCCACCCCCACAGACCGGCCACCTCACTTTTAACCCAGCCACCCAATTTATATATACTTTAAACAGTCACAACTCTACCAATTTAATTCCAATTAATTTCAAACTAACGCCAATCAATTCAGAATGCCTTCTTTTACTGAAAAAGATATGAGCGCCGCTCTCCAGAT